TTAGCGAAGGATTCATAACCATAACAAATGATCTTCAAACTTCACGACCAACACGTATACTTAACGACGAACCAATAACTTTAACAACTAATACGTATAGTTAGCAACCAACACGTACACTTAACGTCGAACCGCCAACTTTAACAACTACTACGTATAGTTAGCAACCAAAAGGTAAGAGTGATTTCAGAAGAATAAAAAAGATAAGGACCATCTCAGTGAATCGTAAGCCTCATCATCATCACCGAACAGGTCCTGTTGAGCTGTCTCCTTGCTCCACCACGTTTTACTGTAGTTAATCTTGATGCCAAAATTAGAGAGCATGTCGTTCTTGATATCGACCGCACGAAGATCTGGCCTAACCTTCAAAACAGCTTGTATTTGGCTTGATGCCCTTGAGTTGCCAGCATTTGCTCCATGTTGACCGCAGGTGTGAGTAGACTCAAAATTCTTTATGGACATGATAGACGAATTTCTGAGCGGGGAAGCAAACAACATCCAAGGGCAACCATGTGTGTGTTTGAATCGGCAATAGACTCTTATGCGTCTTTGTTCATTGTGGTAAAAATCATACTCGAACCGTTTAGCAATTGAATAGTATTGAAGTGCTAATCTAACTTCAGCAGCACTATCAAATTTCTGACCAACTTCACGTATGGAGGTGTGCCACTCAGTTGGGATCTTTGTTTGGTGATTAAGCATGTCTTCCAGCAGCATGATCGAGTCGCCGGTGGGGTTGTCATTAGGAATACGCTCATCATTACAGGTTTGGGTGAACGGGGTATCTGCGCACCGCGAATTTTCTGTCGGTATTGTCCTGAAGTAGAAATCAAAATACATAGCCTTAGCAACGAACTGATAACCTTAACAACGAACTCATAAACGTAACAACCAACACATATCTGTTGCAACTAACCCTTATACTTAAGGGCAGACTCGTGACCTTAACAACAAACGCATATACTTAACATCAAACACCATAACTTAGCAACCAACTAGTATACGTAACAGCCAACAAATAACTTTAACAACCAGTGCTTAACATAACCTTGACAGCCAACACATTACCAAAGCAACCAATGCATGTCGGGTTGAAGCCTTGCAATTCAAAGTTAAAGATCAAGTTCAAGCTTCATCCGCACGTGTACCAAGTCAAGCTTAATTGAAGATCAAGATTGCTTGGGTAATGTAGTTTAGGATTTATATTATGTGTGTTAAGTACTCTAAGCTCAATTATCTATACACACACATTTTATTGGTTTCCTTGTATATATATGTAGTCACATATATATACAACACAAGTTTTAGTTTTCATGTTTATAAATATGAAATTACATGTTTCATATTGTGATTTGGTTTATCTACTTAGATATGAAACAAATATATTTTCATATACATACTCATAGGTTTCATTTTCTATTGTATTTGTGAAAATATTGTATTCTTAGTTTATAGACTTCAATATCAGTTTATACATGTTTTACTAAGTCTATAAAAACATTTCACAAAGTTTCAAAAGTTGGTTTATGTCAAAACATCAAAATTCAAGTATCTCATATTTTCATGTTTTGGACTATTTTGTAAAATGATGATATTTTTCATTTGGGAAGTCCTTTTTGATAACCAGTCATTGTAGCATGTTTATTATCATGTCTACAATCATTCCCCAAAGTTTTACATTTTTTGGAATTTATTTGATATTTTTAAACAGTGTTTTAAAATCAGCGTTGTTTCCTGAAATGTCAGTTTTCGGTCGACCGGTACGGTCGACCGGTCAATTGACCATTCATCAGTATTTTTCCAGAGAATCGTCGGTCGACCGGTCCGGTCGACCGAGAGCTCAAATCGGTCGACCGACAGAATTTCCGGTCGACCGACGTTAGTCCAGAAAGTTTTCTTCCTGGATTAGTTGCATGCACCATGGATTCATACCTGCATGAATATAACAACAAAGCAGTACATTTAGCGAAGGATTCATAACCATAACAAATGATCTTCAAACTTCACGACCAACACGTATACTTAACGACGAACCAATAACTTTAACAACTAATACGTATAGTTAGCAACCAACACGTACACTTAACGTCGAACCGCCAACTTTAACAACTACTACGTATAGTTAGCAACCAAAAGGTAAGAGTGATTTCAGAAGAATAAAAAAGATAAGGACCATCTCAGTGAATCGTAAGCCTCATCATCGTCACCGAACAGGTCCTGTTGAGCTGTCTCCTTGCTCCACCACGCTTTACTGTAGTTAATCTTGATGCCAAAATTAGAGAGCATGTCGTTCTTGATATCGACCGCACGAAGATCTGGCCTAACCTTCAAAACAGCTTGTATTTGGCTAGCAATGAACTTCCTTGATGCCCTTGAGTTGCCAGCATTTGCTCCATGTTGACCGCAGGTGTGGGTAGACTCGAAATTCTTTATGGACATGATAGACGAATTTCTGAGCGGGGAAGCAAACAACATCCAAGGGCAACCATGTGTGTGTTTGAATCGGCAATAGACTCTTATGCGTCTTTGTTCATTGTGGTAAAAATCATACTCGAACCGTTTAGCAATTGAATAGTATTGAAGTGCTAATCTAACTTCAGCAGCACTATCAAATTTCTGACCAACTTCACGTATGGAGGTGTGCCACTCAGTTGGGATCTTTGTTTGGTGATTAAGCATGTCTTCCAGCAGCATGATCGAGTCGCCGGTGGGGTTGTCATTAGGAATACGCTCATCTTTGTTGTTCATATTACTTATCCTAGCTCATATACATTGTTGTATTTCATACTTGCTAGGATAACTTGTTAATAAGTTTTAATTGGCATTTAATCGGATTAGATTAGCATAAGACCCTAATCACCCCCCCTCTAGGGTCTAATAATATCCTTAACAACTAACCCTTATACTTAAGGGCAGACTCGTGACCTTAACAACAAACGCATATTCTTAACATCAAACACCTTAACTTAGCAACCAACTAGTATACGTAACAGCCAACAAATAACTTTAACAACCAGTGCTTAACATAACCTTGACAGCCAACACATTACCAAAGCAACCAATGCATGAGGTTAACAACTAATGGCAAAACCTATCAGTGAACTCAAAAGGAAATCTGGAGTGTAATTCCTACGCAGTTTCCGGCGTAGTCTGCGTGTTCTGCGAAGTTGAGGATTCCGCAGCGGAGGTGGCATACAAATTCGCGTCTGTAAATCCATTACGCCGACAATACTCGAACATCAAATTTAAGTCGTCGTCATTGTCAATTGAAATGCTGAATTTCTTTTCCCTTTCGCATATGAACTTCAGTGAAAGAGATTGCATTGGTATTTTAAGCCTTTCCGCCACTCGATATTTCAAGCTGATTATTTCTGTATTCTCTTTGATAACGACGAATACACCGTCACCACCTTTGTTGCTTTTTGCCTTCGTTACCACGCATAGAAGAGATCCATCTGCCATTTTATTACAGGGAGTGGTTGAAGAATCGAAGAGACTTTTATTAAGGAGAATTAAGTGGAAGGAACAACTTAGCTTGAAGGGGAATATAGCTGGTGATAATATCTGATGATAATTTTGGAGGGAAATGAGATTTTTTCCCCCAAAAAAAGTCATTCATATCACCATTTAATGCCTACAGTCGAAACGATGGGTTTTCGTCGTGAGAGGGCGACGAACACAGGCTGCGAAGGGTATTTTGGGCATTTCGAGCGGGGTTTAAACGGAAGGTGGCCTGAGGATTCGTTTTGGGGGCTGGAAGAAAATCGGGGGCGGTTTTGGGGGTAAAAGGCACGTTGAAAAAGTCTTGGGGGGGCAGAGCACGTTTTGGGTTGTTTTGGGGGCTGGAAGCAATTTTTCCTTGATTTTAAAACTCCAGAAGAGGTATGGTCTGGTGCCCCTGCTAATTACTCTTAAGAGTATTTAGTTGCTCTGCTTATTTTCATGTTAGTGATGGTAAGCTTGAACCTAGAGCAAAGAAAGCTATCTTTCTAGGATATGCTACTGGGGTGAAGGGATATAGATTATGGTGTTCTGATCCCAAATCACCTAAGTTTATTATTAGTAGGAATGCTACTTTTGATGAGAAATCCATGCTTCACCCGAGAAAGGATTTTGTTATTGATACCACAGGTACTGAAAAGGAGTCTAGTAAGCAGGTGGAGCTAGAGAGCTCAGCTTCAAAGAGAGTACTTGAGGGCGCTCATGTTGAACTAGTTGATACCGCAGAAGGTTCAACCTCAGATGCTGACACACCGCAAGAGCAACAGTACAATATTATCACCGGGAGAACAAAAAAGCAGATCCGATCTTCTCAACGTTATGCAGACATGCTTGCTTACGCTTTGAGTATAGCAGAATCAATTGAAATTAAACTTCTGCGAAGTTATTTCCCATGGCATCTATATAGGAGCGCGTTTAAAAATTTCCTCCAACTTATAAGTGTGTTTTTCCTTATAAGGGTCCAAGATCATGTTTGATAAATTTTACTTATTTACTTATTTTCCTCTTATTAGTAAGTTAGCTGGTTTTTCCAATTTATTTTTTGGACCTTTTAAGGATGTTACTTATTGTTTGAGAAAAGACTATTTTGTCCTCTTACATAGGAGGTTTACTTATAGGGTTGTGTAAATAAGTTTTGCCAAACATGTATATGGCTCTTCTTTTTTAAGACTTGCCATATATACCTTCTTAATAGCTCCATTTAATATTCTTCGCATATTGTTTTTCTTTTTATGTATATCCTTCAGAAAGGAACATGTAAAGCGAGCAGGCTGCTTATTATGATTGCATTAGTACCACTTAAAGACCATTTGCCAACAAATTCCTGGCATTCCACGCTTGGTAATACACCTCTGCACCATGATATGCCCTTTGTCATCCCTTTGTAGTTCTGCACCCATAAAGATTCTGTTGCACTAAAATTCTGATTTCTATGTCAAAGTTTCTGTGCATTAAGCATTTCAATAAGAGTACATTATAATAACCCTCCTCATCTATAGTTTCAGTACGACTTGTCACTCCTCAACTAGTGTATAGCACTCCGCAGTTCATTGGGAATACAAGGGTTGTCTTCAAGTTATCTACTCAAAACGGCAACTCAGGTGAAGTGCTAACAAATGCATTGAGGGATGATAAATGCTGCTGGAGGTACAGGTGAGGTGGTTAGCTGTAGTTTATCCTTTTCTTAATCATGAGATGATAAGAATGAATTATGCTGTAGATATTTCCTAGCTAGCTACAAAGCAATGAGAAGGCAGCAAAGTTTTTTGTTTCTTTATAACCACGTTGCACGAAATATTTTAGTGCAGG